CATTGTACTATACTTGTCTTCTTTCTTGCTTCTTGTCATGACCCTGTTAACCTGAGTCTAAACCTACCGCAAGAAGGGATTGCAAGGCAATGGTGGTCTGCTCTTACTTCATGCTCTACACCCTGCCCAAATATCTTTAGCCATGAGAAGAAAGGACTGAGATACCTGATTTTTATTTCTGTCATAAAATGCTGCTTACTGAAGAAGAGCTTCAAATAACAACAAAAATCCAAGACCAGAGTTGGTTGGATCCCATCATTGGTCTAACTAATATCTGTGTTACATCTGGTTAGTTCCCATATACTTCACCAGTATTTTAATATTTACAGTAATAGTAGAACTAGAATAGTGTTTTTCTTTTTTACTGTTTCTTGTACCATACCATATTCCACCTCTTTTTTTAAATTTGGTGAAATCTTTATTTTTCCCTCATTTGTTCCCCTTTCTCTTAATCCTACTGCTCCCCTGCCCCTCACTTCACCCTCCCTCAGTGCTGACAGGCTGGGTGTGTTTGCAGGCACCTTCCCACATATGAACACACACAGCTTTTTAGTCCCTATACTATGATATTTTTTGCTTTTTCTTTCTTTCACAAAAAAAATAGGTATTACTATAGCAATGTATCTACATGTAGTTGTTTCTGCATGAACTTGAAACTACCTTCCAAGACTGAATTTTAGTGGTTCCCGAGCCAGGCCCCCTCTGGAGCTCAGCCAGGGCCAGACTCTGATGTACGAGCCCAGTGTCTACCTGCAGTGGGTCCCTAAGGCCAAAAGGAGTGTCTTGGAGTCTTATTTCAGCCTGGAGCTGTCCATGTTGAGTTACTACATCATTTGTTTTCCTATTTTTCTCTGAAGCCATGTTACAGGAACTGATAGGTTCACACACCTTTCATTCCTCAGGTTAATCTTGGCTTTGTTGTGGCCATTTGATATATTTGTTTTTCTATTACAGAGTCAGTGATGTGATGCCCTTGGAGAATCCCCGTATGGATTTCATTTGGCTTTTGTGCCTTTCTCAAGCACTTCTTTTGAGCTAGTAATATTCTCAGTTCTGTATCTATATTAGGGAATGTGACTAAATGGCATTAGGTCTAAAGATTTTTGTATGACAGTGTAGCTATTTGCCAGCCTATGTTCTGTTTCAGGAATGATGACTTGTGATTTATTAGATTGAAGTTACTCTCAGTTATACACAAGATTTTCCCCAATTGCTAATTCCGAATACCTGTTGTTTCCCATATTCTCTATCTTCTTTATAGCTTGAACATGATACAACTTCACCATATCGAAGACACAATGGTGTATGGAGGGAGCATTTGAGACCTTGATTCTCTGCAACTGTTATCAGTTTAGTTTAAATAAACTCCTATAAAAATTCTTAAAGAATGAAAAAAAGGATGGTGCATGGAGTTTCTGACAGCCCATATTTCCAGTTGTAAGCAAAAATATGGTCAAAGGGGAAAACACACAAAGCCAGGAATAGAGTCTTATCAGGAAGAAGTGATGCCCTGTCTTTGCCATCATCTTTCTCTCCCTTTGAAAGGTATCATGAGTCACTTTCAATTAAAGACACTAAGCAAGGACTGAGCTGCATGGGTAGAGTTAAACTGCAGGTCATCTTAAACCCTTCCTGAAGCCTCTCTAGCTGTGGGGCTTTAGGCATCTTATTTAACCTACCTGTGACCTAGTCCTTCTGGTATATCAAACAGAAATCACATCTGCCCTGCCAGCTCCCAGGATTCCTAACAGCCACCTGAGGTAATACCCAAGAAGTCACTTTGATGAACAAATGCATTAGAAATGCACGCCATTCAAAATTTATTGAGCGAAAAAGAATAACCTGTGGGCAATATATTAGGTACAGAATATACAGTCACAGAGGTCACATCTCAGCCCTTAGACATTTACACAAACTACCCTCATTTCATCCAGCAACTCATGTGCCTGGAGAAGTGAGCTGGACTGTGGGGCTTCTGTTTGTGATTGTGCACCAGTCACTGATGATGGATTCGGGTCTCCATTCCTGGCTTTATTAGGGGATTCTTAGCATTGGGTATCCTGAAACATCCTGGGAAAACTTTACCATCATACATCAGCTTGTCCCAGACTCTGTTCATCTTGAGAGGAATTCAATCATGGGGAAACATAATGTTGAAGCACCTGAACCTGAGGGCCTCAATCCTTGGTGCAGCCCAGCATCAGCTCTGGACATTCTCAGACCACAGCAGGGCCAAGCATCCTCTCTGGAGGCCCTGAGCTAGGAGTTGATTTCAGATGGTAGCGGGACATCAGCATCTTTCCTTTTAATCTCCATAAGAGATGTTGATATCAAAGGCTGAGGTACACTGATTTCAAAACTAATAAACTATGGGAGTTAATTTTGCTAGGAAGGTGCATTAATTTCCTGTTGCAACTCATATTTAAATTCACCGTCATCGGCCCTGAACTACCTTAAGTGGATTCCCAGAATGCTGGCCTCTTATTAATTCATCCTCAGTATTGTAACCAGAGTGATCTTTTTGAATTAAAAAAATATTATCATGCCATTATTTCCCAAACCCCTGCTTAAAACACTTTACAGACTTCCCATTGCTCTTAGGAGAAAGATCAAAAGCTGACTCCTTGCCCCACAAGTTCTAAAATGTTACTTTCTCCCCTCCAGTGTCATTTCATAACAGGGTCCTATTGTGTCTATAGCCTCAGCCTCCTTCAACTGTACCACCATGTCTGCCATAGGGCCCTTGCATGTCTGTTTCCTCTGTCCTCATTGCCTGGACTCCTCACCTCCATTCCATTTACTCATGTCCTTTGTTTGGTTCAATTACTTCTTCGCTTTAGGCCTTGTTAGCTCAGATATCGCTACTTCTGGGAACCCTTCCTTGATGTTCTCAATTAGATCAGATCTTCGGCATGCCACCTCTCCCTATTGTACAAGCTTGTAATACCATGCATGCTGTTTCCTATTACCCCTATAATCACTTTTATTTGTGAGGTTGTTCATTTAAAATTCACTCCTGCCCTGGCTGTTGTGGCTCAGCGGATTGAATGCTGGCCTGAAAAACGAAAGTCACTGGTTTGACTCCCCATCAGGACACATGCCTGGGTTGTGGGCCAGGTTTCTGGTTGGGGGAGCATGAAAGGCAACCGAGTGGTGTTTTTCTCTCTCTCTTTCTCTCTCGCTTCTCCTTTCTCTCAAAAATAAATGAAATCATAAAAAAAACAAAAACAAAATAAAACAAAATCCTGGCTACTCCTTGAGACACTTGTCCCCAAAAATATGAGTAAATTAAAAGGCAGGCTCTTCTAGGATCAGCTGGCAGCAACTCTGTTGAAAATGCAGAAAACATGGGAATGGAAACTGACCAGAAATACAATCAGAAACTGATCAGTCCAAGTTGGTTGTCCAAATGAAAGACAAGTCAACAAGAATGGCTGACATTTATATTTATTAGTAAAGGGAATTCAAGTAATTGCACAATGTCTAGGCTTGTGGATATTTGTTCAGCAGTTTTGAATGGAGTTCCTCCTCCCTGCCCCAGGGAAGAATTTTTGCCTAGTCCTTACCGAGAGGGAGCAGTTATGTGCCCCCCCTCCCAGTGCTTGGCCAGGCATAGATCAGAAGAGTAGGTCACATAGATTCATAGGATTTGGGCTGCTTTCCTTTTCCCTGTGGATTAATCTTAAATGTCAGCATTTTAAACTTGGCCTTTTCAAAAGATATGCTACCATATAAACCTTAGTTAATCGAAAATACATTTCTGGTTCAAAGTTGTTGTGTTTTTTTTACCCCAAAATGGGAAAAGCTAATAAAACAAACAAATAAAAGTGTATTAAAGTGTAGGCTATGTGTAGAGGGAGCTGGTGTTTGTCTAAGAAATTTTGTTCCTTAAGAATCTTGACTGTAATTCCAAAGGCCTTCTTTTTTTTTTTTTTTTTTTAACAGGTATAGGATTTTATAAATTAGATTTTATCTTCTCCTGCCTACTTGTGGGAAATTTAGAATCCTGTGATTATAAGCAAGCTTTAAAAGGGGTATTGCTGGTCTTCTACAGTTACATTGTTTTTACAGTCATTTGTTTGGGTGTAGAATTTTACAGATTATCAATTACTCACATCTTTTATAATAGCCCTTGGACTTAAGACAGAGAGGTATTATGACCATTTCTTACACCAACGGCAGCTTAATGGCATGCTTGGAATCGTCTAGCTTGTGGATGGCATACTAAGCTTCGGGCCTGGAGGAGCCGTCAGTTTTTTACCCACATATAATGCATGAGATGGAATCCACACAGATGAGTTCAAACCCCAGGACTGCTGCTAACTAGCTTTGTTAACCTTGAGCAGATGATTAAACCTTTCTTGATGGAAGCTTCTTCATCTGTAAGACAGATGAGCTATGTCTACTTTTCTCACCAGACTTAAGATCCCATGAAGGATAAAATGAGATCATTTTGATAGTAAAAAATGCTGAAGTATAAAAGAATTAACCATCATTACCTTAAATAATAATAGGGCTGAGCCAAATGGCAAATCAGGTGTACAGCAAGGTAACTGCTATCCTTTTTCCAACATAGTCAGGGTAAAAAAGGGACTCAGGTGTTCTGAACACATGGCGAGCGGTATAGGACCTTGTCGGGTAGAAGGAATATTTAAAACTGTAAACACCATATTTTAATCACATGGATGGTAAGACTCTAAGCAAAGCCATCAGGGGAATTGAATATCAACTTGGAGCTGATAATCAAGCGCCTAATTTTTCCAACCTGGAAACTTTTGGTAGTCAGTGCCCTTCAGATCTGGAGAGCATCCATCTTAGTAAATGCCCGTCTGCCAGGGGATGTCACAAGGATTCTGTCATATTGAGACAGATCCTTCCAGCGGCAGGAGGGAGCCAGAGCTGCCATGATTCCTGAGCCAGCAACCAGGACAAGCCCCAGGCCCCAGGGCAGGGCAGCCAGGCACAGACTTCCTTCCCTCTGACACTGGGCTGTTTTTCAGGGTGACGTGCAGAGGACATTCATCCAAGTGGACTTCGGTGATGGCATCGCTGTGTCTTACGTCAACCTCAGCTCCATGGAAGATGGGATCAAACACGTCTATCACAATGTGGGCATTTTCCGAGTGACCGTGCAGGTGGACAACAGTCTCGGGTCTGACAGCGCCGTCCTGTACTTACATGTAACTTGTATGTTATTACTGTTGTTGATTTATGCCATAATTTAAGTATTGTGTCCTTTTAAAATACAATCCCAAATTTCCTATCTAGAAGAAGCTTACCAGTTACTTTTTAGCAGGAGAGGGAAGGAGAATAAGAGAGCCAAGTGGGGAGAAAGTAAGAAGAAAATCAGGGAATGGACTATGAATAATCTTGGACTCTCTTTTGTTTCAAAGTTTTTTCACTGCATTTACTGTGCCTCTTCCAGGTGCCTGAGCACCTGAGATACAATACCTGTGTCTGGAGGCTAGGCCGGAGCAATCTGCTAAGCTGTTTGATTGAATATGAATTTTTCCTTTTTAAATTTTTTTTTTGTCAGATATGTTTGAAAACAAGCCACATGTATGGCCCAATCTAATGTATTGAGAATTAACATCAGTAAAGGAATTTCTCCCTATCTGATTATTATTCTCCCACATTATGTCTCACTATTAATATTCTTTTAGATTTATCCTCTTTTTTACAGTGTGTTTCCTGGGATTTATCTAGAGATGATTTGTTGTTAGAGATAAGGTGGTACAGAGGGGGAAAAGTATAAACTATGTTAAGGAAGCTACACTAGAAAGCAGTTCCAAAGATGTTAAAGCTTTTCCCCATTGATGAATTTATAGGTATAATACCTAAGTTATCTTGAGTGATAATGCCTTTTCTAGTAGGTTTGTTGAGTGTCCCTAAATAGGCATAGGACTTGTATGCCTATAAAGTAACATAAGTTACTTTAAAATGAATATAACTCCTTTATATGAATGGCCTTTTTCAAATTAATTCCAAGTGCTAGGCCAAGAATACTAAGGGGGGCAACATCCCATACCACTCACCTGCCCCCTGATCACTGAACCCAACTGAGTGGAGAATGGACTCACTAAAATGTTTTTTAAGTGGCTGTGGGCCAGGGGGCAGACATACTATTTAGGAATCCTCAAGAGATCACTTGGCTCCTGAAGAACCCTCTTACATCAGCATCTCTTCATCTTTATCCCCTGTATACTTATGACAGGGGCGCTTTGAAGAAACACTCTACCTTCTTTCAGTTTAAACAAAGTTTTACAAGACTCCCAGTCTGTCAACTCCATGCCCCTCTTTTCAGTTAATTTTTAAAAAATTCTCACTGTGTGCCAGGTTTTGTGCTAAACAGGCTTTCTATATGTATACTCTCAGTCTTCAAAACATCCCTGTAAAGTCAACACTATTAGAAACCCTACTTGCAAAGCACAGTGAGGTCCCAGGAGCTTAAATAACCCATGTGAAGTTGCAGACCTACTATGTAGCAGAGCCAGATTTCGCACTCAGGCCTACCTGTCTCCAGTTCCAGCTCTTGATCATTAACATTATTGTCATTGCCAACATGGCTCAGCTTTAGAGGAACTGAGTCTCCACCAGCCCTTACCCTGACCCCCCCACATTTGTGCAAATCATCCTGAGGGAACGCGAACGTTTAAGTTAGAAGCAGTATGCTTGCTATACAACTGCATAGGTTCAGGACATGTTTCACAGGCTGCCTTCCTGCAGATTGCCACCCCTAAGCTGTGCTAGATAGACTTTCTGGTGTTGCTTCTTACTAATCAGTAACCTCAAGAGATGATATGATGGGAATGATCATGGAACTTTCAAATATACATCTCAAATTATGATTAGTAAAATAACTCTCAATCAGATCACAATGCGTTTGCTGAGAATGGCTGCCCCCTGTCCCCCAGCAGCCTACCATTTTCTCCAGTTCTGTAATGGGGATTTTTGTTAGAGAATTCTCTGCTTAAGAATTACAGTAATTTTGTTCGATATCCCATGTATGTATTAAACACCTACCATACTCTAGCTACATGTAAAGACCCATGTAAAATTCAGCAATAGCTTCTTGTCTTTGTTTCTCAGGGTCTCTCATAGAGTCATCTACAGCGTGCCCTCCTGGCTGCCGTGTGGGTTCTTTCTCATCCCTGAAAGTGACCATGTCCCTAAGCGATACCCCCCTACCCCAGTCCCCTCCTGGGTTTACTGAATCCTGGGAAGGAAAAGCAGCACAGAGCTTGCCTGCTCAAGGGTAAAGGTTGCTGATGTCATGACTTGTAAAAGAAATGAAAGAAATGAGCTTCTTTGTTTATTTCTCCCTCTCTCTCTCTCTTTTTTTTTTTTTTTTTTTTTTTTGGCTCAGTTAGCCTAGTTGGCATGCTAAAGGATTTACCTTTAACCTTAGTGGCGAATGATTCATAATGGAAAGTTTTGGGTTCTGATTTTAATTTTGATAGGTGGTTAGGTGGTTTCATAAACATGCCACGTATAATGAAACCCCTGGCCCTGGGGACAAGAGTGAACTCTTTTGTACAAAATATATTAAAGAGGATTATTTTAAAACTCATTAATTCACACACATCCCAAACCCATGCCACGAGCAGTTTCAGGGTGTTCTTTAGCACCTCGCTCCTGAAGGACCAATGGTGTGTTACTGCTCACACAGAGCCCTTCGCTCACCCGATCACCTCTACCATGGCAGGCCACACAGGCCCTTTCTTTCAGATGGAGAAAGCAAGGATTGGAAGAGAACTGAGACCTTGGCACCTTTTAAACTAACAGGAAGTCAGAGCAAGGCCATAACTGAGTCACACTTCCCAGAATCTCCAACCTGAAGGGTATCCTGGCAGTTTTCGGTGTCACGATGCCAGGATGTGGTGCAGGAGAAGGGGGCTGGCATTGAGGAAAAAAACAAAAACAAAAACTGAGTACTGGACCGAGTTGGGAGTTGAAAGATCCAGATACTGGCCTTAAATCCTGGCCCAGTCACTCGATTTCTCTGAGCCCAGATTTTCCTCTGTCACCGTGAGGAAAGCCCTTTTTATTTCCGAAAGGCTCTGTGGAGCATGATATGCCGTGCCCTGTCAACTGGTAAAGTTTGATTGTCAATTATCATAAAGTAGCATATTCACTTGTGCTTCCCGGGTTCCAAGCAGCAAGACTCAGCTCAGCCTGCCAGGCTGCCTCTGCCCCTCCCACCATGTACCCTCCCTCTGCCTGGAACACCCCCCATTGCCTGTCTTGAACACTCTCCCTCCACTTTCCATTCCAGACAAGTGACTGGATTTCAAATCAGTGGCTTTTCCTATTGGTTTGCAAAGGTCATCAGAAACAAATGGAGATGATATTCCTGCTGTCAGGTTTCTAGGAATGGGCTGGCAGCTCTCACCAGGGGGCAGGGTAACCTGTTGCAGCCTGTCCACTGGAAACTCCTTAGGGAAAGTATTCACTATGCTCTGCATGTTTGAAACTAATGGGGCCGGCCCCCCATGATGCCGCCGTTGTTGCCTTGCCTGGGACAGGGAACTTAGAGTACATGTAGATTTCTGCTCAGAAAGCTGCCCTGTCTAAACCAGTCTTGCAGAAAATAAGCCCTGAAAACTGCAAATTTGCAGAATGGAAGATAAAAAATAAAAATGGAGTGGATTTTCTAGTCCTTCGCAAACCTCTCTCTTCAGCTGCCTCCTTATAAATTTTGTCGTTAATGGGACACATAGGTGTCATCCTTACTTTGATGGTTGCAAATGTCTTCCTGTCTCTATCTTAGGGTGCAGTGATCTGTTTCCGGAGATCCTGGGTAGCTTTGCAACTTTTCACAGAATCATTGTATTGGCCAGCAAATGTCCTACTTGGGGTTTGTAAAGTGTGGCTTAATGAGTCACCCCAAACTTACAGGAAAAAATGTGGTGTCCTGGGTCCCCTCCCAGACCTACTGTGTTGGAGTCCTGGGCATGCTGTGCCATAACCTGCTTTGAACAGTTAGGATGATCCTCATATACACTGAAATTTAAGGAGCTCTATTTTAGTGTCTCATCTTTATACTTGATGTGCTTGTTTCTACTAGTAGGTGTTTAAACGTTTCAGACAAACAGCAACATGATGCATGCACGGTATTTAATTTGGTTAGGAGAGGTCTCTAGGCAGGCCAGAACAGTCAGTGCTTGTACACACACACACGCGCACACTCACACGCACACGATGGTCAGCTCTTTCCTGCAGCACGGGAAGGCTAAGCAAGAAAATAGCAGGGAAAGCTCATTCACAGGAGTAATTCTGTGGTCCCCTCAGCCACCCTGCCAGGAAGGTTCATATGGAGTCATGCAGTGCCACCTCCCGTTCTTTTTGGGCATTGCAGTCACCTCTCTGATGGAGGAGCATCTCCCAGCTTGTTCAACTCTGAGCTTGGTGCAGCCAGCCGGCTGGAGCCTCCAGGGGCTGCAGGTTCACTTCCGTGGCTCTGTTAGGGCAGACCACACCCTCTATGCAGAAAAGAGAGGCTTAAGGGGTAGGTTTGGGGATAGCAGGAAAGAGGCATATTAAACATCTAATAAGTAAACGAGTAGGAGAGGATCTGGGAAACTGAAAGATAAATTCCACACATTTGTGTGAATGTGTAATGCGTAAACACGCAGGGGTGAATTCATGCAAACACATGTGTACTTCAGGGCCTACAAGACCGACCTGCTGTGCATCCTGAATGCCTCTTGAATCTCCTGGGCTTCTGGTCCTTCCCTCCATCTCTGCATGCAGCCCTTCCCTGCTCTTTCTCAGACACAAAGGGCAAACCCTCTGCTCAAGGTCTGTGTACCTGCTCTACCCTCACCCTGGAGCATCATTAACAGACACTTGGTGTCCTTCTGCACTTTATTCAGGTCACTGCTCAAAGGTCATAATGCTTCTGAAAGACGTCCCTCAACTGACCTTTCAAAAACAGCACTCTCTCCCCTACCCCACCCCTGCCTCCCTCAAGAATATACAGGCTCCACCTAGTGCCAGGTGTCTCCAGTACCTAGAGTAAATGCTCAACATGTAGTAGCACTCAGAAACTATTGAAATGAATGAATGACCATATTTCAGTCACAAGATTCAATTTTTGTTATTAACACAACACATAGGCATCATCCTTACTTTGATGTTCTGATTTTTAAAAACTGGTTAAATGTTCATAGGTGACAGAGACCAAGAAAGTGAACCCTTTTAGAATGGAACAAATAGAGGTGATCTAGTTCTTACATTCTAATGGATTTAACTCAGCTCTGGGGAGTGAGAACTGTCGCACAAGAGGGGACCCTGGAACTGAGACTTGAAGTCTTACAGGTTCCATAAGAAAGAAAGGTGTAACAAGCAAGGCCTTGGGGTGGGACAAGGCATGGCCTGCCAGAGCCAACAGGAGAGTAGCAGGAGCCATGCACTGTAGGAGAGAGTGTGGAAGTTCATTTTGCAGTGACTGGGTCATATTTAAGTCATCTGTAAGCAGTGACTCTTACTAGCTCTTCTGTTAAAATGGGAAAGTCTTATCGAGCATGTCTGCTGACATGCCCCTGGGCTCTGGAATCAAACTGCTTTAGTTTGCATCCTGGAAGTGAGGAAGGCCAGCTTTCTTTGTTCATGTCTAGATGGGGATGATGGTAGTGCCTGCTTCCTGAGGTTGTTGTGAGGATTAAATGAGAATAAAAAGTCATTAGCAGGATATATGGTACACAGTCATCACTCAGTAATGTTGCCCTTTTACTGCCTCATTGAACCATTCTGACTTATGACCAATTCCTTTTTATCATATGGCTTATAAGCCAGAAAATCAATTCTATTCTGTGTGCTGGCCACGAAGCCTCAGATTCTATAATGAGAGAGAAGCAAGCACAAAGGCAGAGACAGGAAGTTATATCATTTGTTACCCAGCAATTGTTTGAGTGTCTGCTACGTCTCAGAAACAATGCTAGCCTTATCAATAATGGTAAATATGAAGGGCTCTTACCCTCCAAAAGTTTGCAGCCTGTGTTCTCTGTCTCACAAATTTCAGATCAATACATGTTCAGCCATCATTGTTATTATAATTAAGTAATGGGGATTTAAATTTTGAGCTAGTGAATAGCATGACCACCTTGGCTTTTTGGACAGTCTCAGAATAATCTGGAGGATGAGAAGGTACATAGTCATGGCCATTCGCTGTGTGAATATATAATGTATATACATGCAAGAACAAAGTTACACAAACACACATACATATTTCAGGGCCTGTGAGGATAACATGTGACCTGTCTCGAATACCACAGGTTTCAGGGCCTTCTACTCCTGCCCACTATCTCTGCCCTGCAGGCGTGTGGGTTTTCTTACCATTCTTCAAATGTACAGAGCCACCTTCCCATCAAGAACTATGCACTTGCTGTACCCTTACCCTGGAGCACATATTTTATTCCAGGCACTGGGACACCTGCCACTCGGTGCAATTTATGTATTGTTGGGGGAGGCAGGCATTGGACACATAGAGCAGCAGGTGGATCACAGTAGGGGTAGGTTAGAGGCAGGGAGATCAGTAAGAGGGTTATAATGGTCCAGCTGAGGAGAGGTGTAGCATATGAACCAGGGCAGGATTGGGGTGAGCTCTGAGAGATATTTATGAAACCAAATCCACAGTTTCCTAAATGGATGTAGACAATAAGAAATAAGCTACCTAGATTGACTTTCTGCCTCTGGGTTGCTCCCCTGGATAGACATTGGTTTTATTCATTAATATACAGAAACTACAGAAAGGGGGGAAATCATCAGTTTTTATTTGAGTCTGGAGTCAAGAAGGTGGTTTTCGAACCCTTAGCATGTAGTTGATAGTGGAAGGTCAGAGTGTGGATGCTAGTACTCAGCAGAAGAGCCTATGGAAGGAGAAAAGGCCAGAGACAGCGTCCTGGGTAACACATGTAAAGGTGAAGCAGAAGAAGAGGCAGTGATTCAGCAGGTGGGAAAGCCCGAGGTACCACTTCCTTCTCACCTCATGGAATAATGATGGGGATGATAGATTTCCATCATGTTCACCTCAGAGGAAGTAACATATTTTCTTGGTAACAGTGACTCAAAGAGAAGGTCACAGGTCATAAGAAAGGTCCTAGTGGTTCTCTACCAGGAGGATATTTGTACCTTTGTGGTTTTCTTCATCTGAGTAAGGTATCTGGTCTAATGAGCTTTCATAGATAGAATTATCCTTTTTTTTAGTTAAGCCCATCCTGTGACACTGAGAACCACAGAGCCTTCTGCCCACTCACAATGCCTTTGTCCTAGACAAGCCAAAGTCAACACCAAACACAGTTTATTCCATGCTTACCTACCCAGGTGGCTTTGCAGACAAGCACGTGCACACACAGACTCACACACACTCACACACAAACACACACATTTACACACCCAGATCTTTAAATACAGTAAATAATAAAAAATAATTGTCCCTCCCGCCCTCACCACCCAACGTGGATCCTATGAGATTGTCACAATCCTGGTTTCCCACCAAGACTGTACCCTCTTGGAAAGACTTTGCATCTCCCTGCGGAATCTCTTATTATGCCTGTTCATTTACGAACTTCATAAATCACTTACAAACTTTTAAACTTTTACACCTACATGACTCAGGTTTTAGTCCTGGAAGAAAGTTGGTAAATGGACAATGTTGAGATGTAATTATTCACAATATATCCTTTTCCCTAAAGTAGAAAAAACGCCTGAGCACTTTTCTCAGGAAGTATGACTGATGTCTGGGGGGCAGCTTCCCGAATGGATTGTATATCCTCTTCAGGGCAGAGAAAGTGGAACTGAGAAAGCTCTTCCCACTCTATGCATCCTCTCTTGTCTTGTGCCTCAGGTCCCCTGGAGCACGTCCACCTGTCCCTTCCCTTCGTCACCACAAAGAACAAAGAGGTCAATGCGACTGCAGTGCTGTGGCCCAGCCAAGTGGGCACCCTCACCTACGTGTGGTGGTACGGGAACAACACAGAGGTGGGTTGCGTTGGAGAGAGCACACGTGGGGTCTAGGGGTAGCTCCACACAAAGTGGCTGAAGCAAGAAGGGAACGAGACGGCACATGGAACGCGAGTCTGGGGTGGAGGTGTCCCAGCCTCGGGGCCCGCAGGCTCTCTGTGCACCGGTATTCCCATCAGTGCGTTCTCTGTCTCGCTGTCTCTCTCAGTTTCCCCGCCTGTGTCTATTTCTCTCTCGCCACTTCACCCCCTACTTCCTGCCTCTGTGTTACCATCCTTCTCTACCTGGGCTTTTCTTTGCAGTGACCCTTAGCAGCAGCCCAAGCCCTATACCCTCACAGCCTAGCAGAGAAAATAAACTCTTTCCCCAAAGTTCTGCCAACAGTCCTAGAGTAGAGTATGATGGGCCAGGCCTTGATCACAGTGCCGGGGCATAAAGCGAGGTGTTGGAGTCAACTTCCTGAGAACCACACAGACCAACACAAGGGACGGGATGGTCCCCAAAGGGAAGAGAGGCAAATAGATATGGGCCAGGCAAAAGCAACAGAGGCTCTTTTGCACCCAGCCGCACTAAATGGCCTCCTCCCCCTGCATCAGACACAACCACATCTTTAGGTCAGCTTTTCCCTTTCTCTTTTCCCAAAACATTCCCTGTGATCAAAAGTCAGCAAGCATTTTAAAACCAGTAGGACCTTAACCTCATTTACCCTGAGTCCTTCATTTTGTGGATGCCAGAAGTGAGGATGAGGCGGACACCGTGGCCTGTTGCAACCTCATCCAGCTGTTCCCTGCCAGGGCCGGCTCTGAGACCTTCTGGTGCCTGCGTGAATTTTTATTCTCCTCATTCAGCACTGCATGCTCTGTTCCAGTTTTGAGCTCACTCCATTCTCAGAAATTAAAATTTGCTTCCAAATTTAGGCAGGAGGACTAAGGCCCCAGAGCACACCTCCCACAGGGCACTGGGACAGATTGACCTGGACTAAAAACCCCCCATCTTCTTCCAGCAGAAGTGCCTTTACTCCATGACTTACCTAGTCCAATGCAGTGCATTTTACTTTAATGCAAATATTGTTTTACCTCAGAGCTGAATTTTGGCTTGAGACTTAATTTTGCACAGGCCAGCGACGAAACCCCTGACTCTGGACCTGCTACAAGCCTGGCAGTGGAAGAAATCTCTCACCTCTACAGTTAACATAACTAAGCTGAAAAAAAGCTCCCTTTTTATTACTTCTGAAACCATGTAAATTCAGACAAAACCAGGCCTGTGACCCACAGTAGAAGAGCAGAAATCTATGTTATTTGCCTGAAAGCGAGTACTGGAAGGTGAAATTCCTAAACAACTGTATTTTGTGTCTCCTATTATTTACCTTTTAGCAGAAAACCAATTTTCAACAGGTCATGTTGAGCAAACTTCTTAGGCTGGCTTTAGTCTTCCCTCTGCCATGCAGGGAATTAAATGAATTTTGATTTTAAAATTAATTAAGACAGGAAAGAAATGATTGCAGGGAGTGAGTTGAGGGAGGTCAGTAAGCTAATAATCTGCCCCTCTAGGACCCCAGCATCTGATGGTAGTACAGGCTCTGCTCCAAATCTCTCTCTCTGTCTTTTTTTTTTTTCTGAGTCCTCAAACCACTATCCAATTAGTACTTGTTTCTATAGCAGCTGCTTCCAGAAAACTGCTGATAGGGCTTCTCAGGGGAAGCTAAGCTGCACCAGGCCAAGGCTGTCTACCAACTGCCATTTTGGTGTTCATGGTTGCTGTGTTCCGTTGTCATTTATTTTGGACAATATGCCCTGGGATAAACACCTGACAGCTTGTAGATTTTCAGTGACTAATGCTTAAATCTGAATAGGAGCCCTCTGTTTCAGTCTGATTTGGGTGTTTCCTTGGGTTAAATGATCTACTTGATGTGAGTAGGTTATCCGTACGGAGAGACACATCCCACCAGCAAGCTAGACCCATCAATCTCCTCAGCCCTCAGTCAGCATGGTGCCAGGAGAAAAGTCTCAAATTCAAAAGGAGTGGGCAGAGCCTCCTGGGGACATAGCTCTAATAATCCCTTTGTGTCCTGGACTTGACATGATAAGGAGGTGTAGATGGAGTCAGTTGTCCCCAGAAAGAACCTCTACAAGTAGCTTGTTGGTCACTATCTCATCTGTAAGGGAAGAACTTGCCCCTGACTTTGTGCCCTTGTTCATTTTAGCCCTTGATCACCTTGGAGGGAAGCATATCATTCAAGTTCACTGCCGAAGGGATGAACACAATCACAGTGCAGGTCTCAGCTGGGAATGCCATCCTGCAAGACACCAAGACCATCGCGGTGTATGGTGAGTAGCCCGCCTTCGTTGATTCATTGCTGCCCTCCTGCTCTGATGAAATTTCTCAGTACCATAGTGCCAGAGGTCACCTGGCTCCTGACCTCTAACCTGAGCACAGAGGAGGACAGTAGTTGAGAAATAGCTTGGTCAGGTTTGGTCTCCTCCCTTGGGGAAGATGTGATTCACCAGCAAACTAGTAGTCACAAGACCCTAGAGGGCTTATTGTCGTCTCTTCTCCTTGTGGCTCTGGGGTGACCATTCACCCACTCACCTTATGTAGGGCAGAGTGAGCCTCATGTGTGAGGCTTTTTCACTCCATTTGGTATTTTGGTGGTGTTTGAATAGCTATAACCAATCATAAAAGAAAATTATTAATATTTTTATAAAGTTCAACTTAAAAATCTTGATTATTAAAAGGAATCTACATCTACCAATGACTAACTACTCTGAAGATCATTTACACAAACCTGTATCATAAAAAACTTTTAGTAGATTAAAAGAGAGGGAAGAGTCATCACAGATGTCCTGTGTTGTCATAGACTGGATATTGGTTTGAATAAGTCACAGCACAAAACAATCGTGTAAGCCACTGGGGAAGTCGAATACGGTCAGAGTATTAGATAGAATGAAAATTTACTTAAATGGAAGGTGGAATTATTGATTGAAAATGGGAGCTATATACTACTTGATCTCACTTGGAGAAACTTTTTCTGCATATCAAGATATTCGGGTGGATGCACTAAGTGTTATTAGTAGATGGTAAAAATGTAAACTTGTATTGCTTATGCATCATGGAAAATTAAAATTAAAAAAGAACTTCAAAAGAATATGGATAGGAAAAGTAAATGCTGTGCCGAGACACAGTACAAAAGGGAAGGAGAAAAGGAAGAGGGAGAATCAGATAGATAGATAGATAGATAGATAGATAGATAGATAGACAGACAGATAGACAGACACCAACTGACGGTTCACATATCAATTGCCCCAGGCCCAGAATTAATGGATTCTGATGCAGGCTCTGTTTTTCATTTCTCACCTTGTCAACTTGACCTTCAAATTCAGAAAGTAATTTGTCAGCAACTTTGAACACGTTTAAAGAAGATTCTTTGCCTAGCTGGGTGTTAGATTTCATAACGTGTCCCACCCCTCTGCCCTTCCCCTCACTGCAAGAGGCTTGATAAGCCCGAATAGTAAGTGAAAGTGAACCAGGGCTATGGGTTTCCTCACAAGTAGGGGCCAAAAAGGGGGAAAACTTTTGCTTCTCCTTCCTTCTCTTCTTTCTATGCCGTGGGATACATTGAATCCTCATGGCAGCTCTAGTGGAGGGCATTATTACTCTCACTTTTTCAGAGGGGTAGAGAACGTGCCCTGACCAGTCAGTGATGGAACTGGGTGTCCAGCACAGAGTCCATCTGTACCCAGGGCCCATGCTCTGAGATTACCCTGCTTGGCTGCTCACCTGTCTTCTCCACCTGATGCTCCTTTTCCTCTCTCTGCTTCCTGAATGTCACAGCTGTCACCACTGGGCACTGACCCATTCATCCCACAGATGTCCCCTTGGTGAAGCATACCTGCAACGCTCTCATTAGAACAACAGAGAAAACTTTAAACCTAGGTGGTCTTTGGATTTATATGGTCCAACTAAGTAGTTTTACAGACAGGAAACTGTGGCTGGGTAATGGGGAATTACTGGCTTGAGGTTGTTGTGCTGTTCAGTGACAGGTCCAGTAATAATAATGGTGATGGTAATGGTAGTAATTAACATGGATGAAACCCTCACCAGCATCTGTTCTAAGCACTTGATGCCTATTATCTGTTTTATTGAACAGACTTTTGAGACAGACTTATGAGACATATGCTATAATTATCCTTGTTTTACAAGTGAGAAAATATGAGATAAGTATAATAAACTGAGCCTAAGACTCTGAATCCAGAGGAAATGTTTCTAACCACTTGCCACCTCCTTGCCACTCTTAGTTTTTCCTTTTCCTAAAATCTGTTTTTTTTCCATAGAACAGTTTTAAATTTACAGAAACACTGAACAGAAAATACAGAGAGACCCCATATATTCCTCTCCCCTCCCCCCCCATTATTAACATCTTGGATTGGTAAGGTATATATTTTTTTACCATTGATTATCCTATAATGTTATTAACTATAAGCTTATAGTTTATATTAGGGTTCCCTTTTTGCATTGTACAATTCTATGAGTTTTGTCAAATGCATAACATGATGTATTCAGCATTATAGTATCATTCAGAATAGTTTCACGGCCCTGACAGGCCCCTCTACTCTCCTGTTCATCTCTCCTTCCCAATCCACAACCCCTGCAGCCACTGGTCTTTTTACTCCTCTCCATAGGTTTGCCTTTTCCAGGATATCACAGGATTGCAATTATACAGTACGCAGCCTTTTCAGACTGGCTTCTTCACTTAACAATATGCATTTAAGTTTCCTTTTATGTCTTTTTGTGGCTTGAAGCTCATTTCTTTTCATCAAGCAATAATATTCTGTTGTACAGGTGTACCAACTTGTTGATCTGTTCATCTATTGAAGAACATCTTGATTGCTTTTGATTTTTGGTATTTATGAATAAAGCTCCTATAAACATTTGCTTACAATTTGGGTTTTTTGTTTCGTTTTTGGTTTTGGGTTTTTTTTTTTTGGTGGAGACTTAAGTTTTCAACTCAATTAAGCAAATATGATTGCTGGATTATGTGGTAAGACTGTGTTTAGCTTTGAAAGAAACTGCCAAACTTTCTTTCAAATTGGCCGTACCATTTTGCATTCCTACCAGAAATGAATGAGAGTTCCTTTTTCTCCACATCTTTGCCAGCTTTTGGTGTTGTCAGTGTTCTGGATTTTAGCCATTCTGATAGGTGTGTAGTGGTTATCTCTTTGTTGTTTTAATTTGTAATTTCTAATGACGTATTATTTGAATCTTTCATATGCTTATCTACCATCTGTAGATCTTCTTTGAGGAGGTGTATGTTCAGATCTTTTGCTCACTTTTTAACTGGATTGCATTTGCATTGTTAAATATTAAAATTTTTTTGCAAAATTTGGATACAGTCCTTTATCAGATATGTGTTTTACAGGTTCTCTTCCAGTCTGTGGCTTGTCTTTTCATTCTCCTATCAGTGCCTTCTGCAGAGCAGAAGTTTTTTATTTTAATGGAAAAGGCTGGATTTCCTTTTCCTAAAGTCTCTTGAAAGGCATCGTCCAAAAGAGAGTCACTCCATCCAATGGGTTACCTTCATTTCGAAATGCCTCCTTATTAAAGAGCTTTAGCAGGTGAAGTAGTCCCCCCTCCTCTAACCAAATTCCTGAACCATCAAACATCCTTAATTTTTCTTTAGTCAGATAAGTTGTCCAGAGTTGCATATATATAACTGGAAAATTTTAATGACAATTGTAACATATTAAAGGCAAATTGCAGCACAGGGAGTTAGGCAAGATTGAACTCAAGTAAAACAAAAGACAGGGACATTTTTCAACTCTAGCTAATGGAAAAGTGCTGGAGGGCTTTGCAGATGAGGGGAATATCAATGTGTTATATACAGGCCATTCATGTTTGCTGGTCATTGCTGATGACAATAGGGCTCCTACCCTCCCGGAAACAGGGGTCCAATTTTTTTTTTTTTTGATGATTACGTTTCAAAGGGATGGCTCCCAGGTCCTTGAGAAAGCCATTCCTGATAAATAGAAGATTTGCATCTCAAAGTGACAAAAAATTTTAAACTGCCAAGTTTTCCAAAGAAAACTCTCTAAGAAAAAGGAGGTGAGGGACCTATACACAGTCAGGATAAACCTGTCTAAAATGTAGTCAAGTGGAACAGAACAGTAAGGCCATCACGGTCAAGCTGAAAGAGGCCTCATAATTTGGGAAGCTGACAGAAGAAAGATTATCCACCCAAAGCCTTGCAGTAGACCAGGGGAAAGAAAATCTCATTTGCATTGTTTCCCTTAATTTGCATCAGGGCACAGATTTTCTTTTTTAATACAGAAAAGAAAATGTAAATATGTAGAATTCCTCTCTCTCAGCAGCTACTATATATATGTATGTATATGTATATGTGTATGCATATATCATGGGTGTTTCCCTTTTCAGTTCTGCCACATACACCCCCATTTGTTGAATTAACTTAGTGTAACACTTCTCAGCCATCTTCCCTCCCTACTTTGCTGCTTTACATGTGAAGTAATTATAGAGGGAGCCTCATCATTTTTCTCATTTGTGTCTTTTATTAAGATAAATGTCTTCCCTTTAGATGAAGCTTCTACAGTTTGATAAGAAGTTCTGGGAAAGTGAAAATGACATAAACTTATATCGTCGAAGTGAAAAGTTAGGACTCAGTGGGTGATATCGTGCTGCTGCCATTGACCAGGGTGCTAATGAGTGTGTGTTTCATTATTCTTCATCAGAATTGAATAGGTGATATCACATAGGTAACCAGTGACTCATAAAACAGTCAAACTTTGAGAAATACGTCTTTGCACAAACACCAGTGTGGTGTTTGTCAGAGGGAGAGGGGAGTGGGGGAGGTAGGAAAGGGTAAAGGGGAGAAAAAGATGATGGAAGGAAGCAACTTGGGTTGGTGAATATAATACAACATAAAGATGATGTATTATGGAATTGTACACCTAAAGCCTGTACAATTTTATGAACCAATGTCATCCTAATAAATTCAATAAAATCAGAAAAAGAAAAATACCTCTTTGGAATAGGCTAACCGCCATTAATGCATACCTCATAGAGTGAGAGTTATCCATGCCTGTGTTGATGAGTCTTTAGCACTGTTAGAACATGCAAGTGGTATTTATGTTTCCTGAATGTGTAGGCAACATTGCAGATGTTGCTGAACCCCACTGAAACACAAGGGCCCGCTTAAGACAAGAAAGGAATGTTTGTTAAATAGGAAATGCAAAAATTACCGAGAGCCTTCACTGTAATTTATGCATTTATTTATTCAACATAAAAATGTATTTTTTTTTACTTTTATTGACTTTAGAGAGGGAGAAGAAGGGAGAGAGAAACATCATTTGTTGTTCTACTTATTTATGTCTCCATTGGTTGATTCTTATATGTGCCTTAACCAGGGATTGAACCTGCAACCTTGGCGTATTGGGACAACCCTCATAACCAAACTTAGTTACCTGGCCAGGGCCACAACAGGAAAATTTATTAATTAAATGGCTTATAGACCAGAATTGAAAAGCTACTGTGAGATGGGCACTCTTTCTTAGGGCCAGAAACACAAGACCCCTGTCCTCATTGAGCATATTCCGATGGAAGAAAGACAATAAAAACAAAATAATTGAAATATCAAGAAATATGAAAAAGACAAGTAGGGTCTTGTGAATAGGGGGGTTTGAGTCGGCGACAGGGAGGATACCTACCTCGCTGGTGGGAAGGGGTTCTCCTGGGAGAGACTGCGTGAGGAGAAAGAGTGGAGGACGCTGTGATCTGGGGGAAGTGAAAGCGTGCTAACGCAGGAAGGTGCGTAACAGGCTGAGGGGCCTGGGGGAGGACAGGGTCCTGGAGTGGGGAGGCCCGTGGGACATGAGGCGGCTGAGAAAGTCAGTAGTGGCGTGAATGGGAATTTTACTCTAAATGCAGTGTGGAGCCATGTGCCAGGTGCTGAGCTAAGATCCCCAGAGCTGTGCTCTGAAACCCAGCGCCAGGCTAAAGCGAGTGCCATGCCTTCCTTGGGCTGATGGAAGCCAAGGACTGAGTGAGACAGGGACGCTAAGGAAGAGCCATTCCTGGGACACAGGGGACTCCCCTGGCTGCCTTTGGCGAGAAGATTCCCCAGCAGCCTTTCTGAACCTCTCTCTGACTGCCAAGCAGTCCGCTACCCTCCCTTCCCTCTTCTACTGTAGTGTCATGTATATGTCACAGTCTGCTGTGCTCCAGGCTCCTTGGCTTTCTCCCCATTCTCTCATGAATGATTCTCATAAAATCCTTGCTTTTGGAATTCTGCCTACTTCCTGGAGGACTGGGACTAACTCGGGGACCATGGACACAACTAACAAAATCCTTGAACTAAGGAGCTTTAAATTCCATTAAATAAAACCACGCAAGCACAAATAGCAACAGAATGACTACAATAATAATTATAATTATGTAATGATATAATAATTATTATTGTACAATCACATAATAATAACAAAAGTATGTGCAAAATACAGTTCCAACATTAAAAAAAGAAAACCAGTTTCCACTTACAGTTGAGATCGTATGGTATTTGTCTTTCACCGACTGGCTTAGTTCACTTAGCATAATGCTCTTGAGTTCCATCCATGCTGTTGCAAAGGATGGACGCTCCTTTCTTTCTACTGCGTAGTATTTCATTGTGTGAATGTACCGTAGTTTTTTGGTCCGCTCATTTACTGATGGGCACTTAGGTTGCTTCCAGCGCTTGGCTATTGTAAATTGTGCTGCTGTGAACATTGAGGTGCATAGATTCTTTTGAATTGGCGTTTCGGGATTCTTAGGGTATAATCCCAGCAGTGGAATTGCAAACAAGCAAGCAAAATACACCAGAGACATTGAAATAAAGAACAAACTGACAGTAACTAGAGGGGAGAGGGGATGAGGTAACGGGGAAAAGAAGGGAAAGGGTCATCAAGGAACATGTATAAAGGACCCATGAACAAAGCCAAAGTGGGGGAGGATGGTGGGTGGGAGGGGCAGGGGAATTGGTGGCAGGAAAATGGAGACAACTGTACTTGAACAGTAAAAATAATAATTATTAAAAAAGAACAAAGATCACAGCATAGTGAGAGAAGGTATTCAGTTAATACATGCTCCAACTAGAGCTTGAAAACTGTATGCAGGGAAGGTAGGAAAGATGGGGCATTCTAGGTAAGGGGCAGTGTGTGCAAAGACCCAGGTCTGTAAACCAGAGATGCATTCAGGCCATTCCAGGTCATTTAGTGTCGGGAGTGCAGAGTCTAGAACTGGGGACAGTGGACGAAGGCTGCGGACCTAGGCAGGGTCCAGAGCCTCAGGCTTTGGTATGGAAAATGAGGAGCTGGAAGATAACAGCGATGGGATGTTGAATCCTTCTTGTAGGGTCTTTCAGGTGAATATGGAGGAAAAGGGTCCTCCATTAGGGCTTTGCATAAAATGCCAAGTATTACTGACTTCTTGAGAGAACTATTCGATTTACAGTGATCACCCTACTGTTGTATCCACAGAGGAATTTCGATCTCTTCGCCTGTCCTTTTCTCCAAACCTGGATGACTACAACCCGGACATCCCCGAGTGGAGGAGGGACATCAGCCGAGTCATCAAAAAGTCCCTGGTGGAAGTGAGTGCAGACAGCAGCTTCTCTTGCCCAGGCACATTCCTTCTCTGTCCTTGAAGAGCTTCATGGTGGGGGGCAAGGACGTGACAGCAAAGAGCCAGGGCCTGTGGGAGATCTGTCTGGTATCTACCTAGCTGAGCTCCGCGCTTGCAGAGACATCATGGATGTTTTGGGGAACAGTGAAACTGTAAACAAATCTGTGGTTCTTCACTCCACTTAGATAAGAACATGGAAGTCTGTGGCAGTCATAGAGCAGAGTTAATAACGAGCCTTTAGGAAGTTTAAAATCAGCTTCTGTGCACAGCACTGAAAGACAGAGGGTGAGTCCAGTTAGTCAGAGCAGCCCTGGATTCCAGCTCCACACATGGTACGCATAACCGCACAGTGAGCATGTGGAACACGATGGTTCATCATCCTTCCATATCCAGGTCTTTTAAAGGCATCTGTCACCCATGGCAGCCCTGACAGGATGGTATTACTGTCCTCATTTTGCAGATGGAGCACCTGAGGTTCAGAGAGGTTAAATAACTTGCCTGATGCCTTGAAGCTAATCAGTGGTGAAGGTACAAAATTGAATTGAAGGTTCTGAGTCCAGTGTCTGGGTTTTTACATACAAAACACGGCTCCCTGGGGTGACTGGGAAAATAGCAAGGTGATGTGATTTATCTCTCTCTAAGCAAATGTCACTGACATTTTGAGAAGACACCTTCTTTTAGACACACTGTCCTGCACATACTACACTTTCATGAGTGATCAGAACAGGGTCGTCTGCTCATGGAGCTGCTTGGATTTATTGCACAAACCCAGAAAATCAGAGATGAGAGACTTTTCCCTAAGGTATATTCTTAGCCCCAAAGGAGAGCCAATGGGTACATTCTTTCCTGCACCCAATATGTGGTGCCTCGTGACACAAAGAGATATGGGATAAAGGCATTCATATAAATCCTGCTCAGAAAACGTTTTATATCCACCCTTTTAGCAAAGAACTGGCCTTCCCTCTATTCATACCATTATTTTTGTTTATATTTATTTAGCACTTACAATATTCCAGAAACTCTTCTCTGTGTTCTGCATTTTTAACACATTTACTTTCTTAAAAAACTAGCTTATGAGTAGACAGCATGATTATTCCCATGTTACAGGTGAGGAAATGGAACTTGGGGACAGATAACTTGTTCAACATCATACCGTTAAAATTCGGGCTCAGGAGTCAGATCACCAAAGTTTGAGTCTTGAGTTCATGGTTTCGTAACCACTCCACTGTAGTGCCATCCTTTGTCTTGTTATATGGAGACACAGGGATAAATGGAACAGTGGAGTGGATAAGGGGCATCTTCATGCGCCTCTGGGTACATGCCCTCTCTCTCACCGTTCTCTTCAGGACTCTCAGCATCCCTAACATTACGGGTGGCAAGACATTCTGGCCACCAGGGAGCGCAGCTTACGAAAGGGCCCGCGGGCATAGGCCCTTCTGCCCTTGGAGCTGTTTGGCTCTGGTATGGTAACTGGTTTCTCTTATCTGCTGTCCAAGAAAGATGACTTAATGGCCGCACTCCCCACCTCCTTCAGTCTGCAGCATTCTAGGAATCCATGTCCTGCCCAGGCAGCTGTCCAGTGCCCCCACGTGATTTATCAAGCAGGCGTTAGCTCAGCAGTGACCAATTTTCCAGGCTGATTGTCCAAGGATCAGATGCCCTGGGCCTGACACCTTTCTACCAGCTGTCTCTTGAGCTAGAAATGACTGCTCATCAATATTTCTAGACTAGGTATAGCACTATCTGCTCAATGCAGGATAAACAGGCCCAACATCTCTCAGGTCAGACTATGATGGTTTCCTCGTCCTAAGAGGCAGCTGTAGGCCCTGGTTCCTAGTATCCCACCCTGTCTTTGGCCATTTTCTTAGGTGCTGAAGCACCACATTGCCAAGTTTACCTTAATGAACCCTAAAAGAGGTACAGTGTGAGTGAGGTCTATGGATTTGTACTTTTCCTATTCATTACATGACAGAATTGGATAAAAAAAAAAAATCAGTTTTATTTCTTCACCAAATGGGATTTTTCTGTTGACGTTTCACCATGGAATCTTTCACTGAATGTCATTCATTAAGCTTTTTTTATAAGAGTGGTTGAGACATGACCTCTGAGTTAAAAATCTAGCAGGGCCATGAGACAGCAAGAGATAGACTGTGATAGGAGCTGCTGTATGATCATTGTTGGGAGAAGTAGGGCACCAGTTAAGAACAGAGGCTTCATGGTGCGACCGAAGTCCCAAAGTAAGCATCACCTCCCTACCTAGGTGGCCTTGAGCCATTGTTTAACTTTCCTCCACCTACCATCTGCCCTGTGAAATAGAGATGTGCTGCCCAGATCCCCATGCAGGGAAAGACTGCTACCTTAGCTGCTGGAGGTGCTGTGGATGGGTAGAGGCTTCCACTGCCTTGCTCCAGGTCCATCCATTTCCAGGGCACTCATGTCCAGTGATTAATTGATGCCGTTATATAAAGGCCTGGCCATCTCAGCTTAACCTCAGACACATCTGAAACACTGTTTTCACCCCCTAGAAGGTCTCCTGCGGCTGCCGTTGACCTTCATCACAGCTCAGCTTATCCCTGTGCTCATTCTTACTTCCTTCTCTTCACTCCCTTAGCTGTTGATCGCAAGAACACCCTTAATAAACACCCCAAATGCTAAACTCGGGTCTGCTTCCTGAGGACCCCAACCTGTAATATGTCTTCACCAGCAGAGGGTCATGATGATAATTATATCAAAGAGTCATTGTGGGAGGTTGCCTTACATAATACTAGCACGTACTTAGCACAATGCTGGACATGTGCAAGGACCCAATAAATGGAATGTCTTACAACTGTGAAAGAGGCACAAAGATGGGGTTCAGAAACAAACAAAATTACCTAATTGGGAAGTCATGAAAAATATATCGAAACAAGTGGACTTTAAGAAGGAAGACTCACAAAGGAAAGTACGGTTTTAGCAGCAAATATAGAGAAAAGACATTCTGGAGAAGATGGAACACACAAAAATATTTTCAGGAAAAGGCTGGGATATTGAGAAATTGTATGCAATTCCATTTGGCTGGAGCCTAAGATGACTGCATGAGTTGTGAGTAATTTGTTTGGAGAGGAAGGACAGGACCATACTGGAGAAGGCTTTGGATGGTATATTCAATTTGTAGGTAGTGGGAATTATTGCAACACTTTGGAAAGCAAAACACACTCTTAGCGGGACTGAAGGAAACTAAATCTGGACGTAGTAATCTAACTCCTGGAAATAGAAGGACTATTGTAAAATTTGAGGGGAGCAAACATTAAGTGCTGAATTTGAGTATTAACAGTGTTTATTTAAACAGGAAGGAACCAATTGGATCATTGCTGTGGAGTTGGGCTCGTCAAGATCTCACACTCTGATTAGGTGGGAAGGGGAGTGTTGTGTCAGGAGCAAATGGAAGGCTTCAAGCCAGGGTATCTGGGAAAGGATCACCTCAGGTCATCCAAATGTAGAATTAATATTTGACGGCTGTTAATGAGAAGTCCTTTTTTCATGTGTTTGTTGGAAGTCCTAGTAAAGCAACCCAATGAATGATGTTCTGACTGGCCGCTGAAGAAGAAAGCTGGGATTGTAGCTATTGATTCTAGGACCATCTAGGGAGTTGACTCAGGGGAAAACTTGGGATATAAGCTCAAAAGGGCAGATGGACCGAGACAAAGAGGAAATCCTGCAGTGGTAACTGCGATTGTAGCAGATGATTCATCAGCGTGGCAAAGTGAAGAGCTCAGCGTGGCTATGAAACAGGCTGGTCACTGGGTCCTGGTGATGTGGAGAAGTCAGCAGGGGCCTGAGGGTTGTGCTGTGGGGGAGTTGTCTTAGGTTGAGTCATTAAGATGTGGTGGGCCAGTCTGCAGGAGTAACTCCAGAACTACCACGAAGGAGGAGGCTAGGTTGAAAAAGATTGAGGCATGAGGGCAGATGACAATGTTTAGTCAGTGAGAGTCTTCTCACTGGCAACATCCACTTGCCATACATGCCCTGGAGGAAAAAGACGTAACATGTGAATGCCATGCACTACTACAGATGATTTATGTGCAACTTATTTAATTCTCAAAACCATCCTTTTATAAGTACTGCCCGTATCCTCACTTTTTATTTGAGGGACTATAGATACAGAGGAGGTCAAGTGTGCAAGGTTTCCCAGGGACGGGGCTGAGATCAAACCTCGAACGGTCTGGCTCCAGAGCCTGCGCATGTAGCCCAGGGCCGCCTCTCACATCCCTTCCTATCAGGTGCACATAGGACTCTGCTTGCACACACCCCGACCCCGCCCTGCTGAATGCTTGCCCCTTGTCATCATCTTTCCTGCAGGACTTACATGCTCTTCTGTGTCTCTCCCTCAGGCCACTGGGGTCCCAGGCCCCCACATCCTGGTGGCAGTGCTCCCTGGCTTACCCACGGCTGCTGAGCTCTTCGTCTTGCCATATCAGGACCCAGCAGGAGAACACAAAAGGTCAGCGGAGGATCTGGAGCAGGTGAGTCTCCCAGGTGACATTTCGGCTTCCCCCAGAGGTCTGAGCCACCATCCTGTTGGGATCTAACCACCAGGACAGCAGCTCTAAGGGATTTTGGCTTGAGAGTGAGGGCACCGGCTGTTTGTGGAGCCTGGGACTTTCTGGTCTTCCATTTCTTTTTTATAATATAGTAATCCGAGCAGCTGCTTTGTGGGGAAAAAAAGAAAAAAAAAAACACATTAAAGAGTGCAATAGGCAGTGGCTAAGTTACTCGGAATATATCCACACTGTGGAATACTCTACAGCATTTACAGCAAATTAGATAAATCTAGGCATATTGACATGATGAACTGTCCAAGATATTAAGTGGGAGAAAAGCAAGCAGGTGAACAAAATGTGGAGGTTGAATCCATTTAAAACTTACTTTACTTAATTTCATCATAAGAGTGTCATGAGAATTAAATGGCATGATATGTTTGATACCTTTTATGAAAAGCACAGCCTTTGTACAAATCATGAATCCTCTTTATCATTACCATGTTAAGATGACCGAATGTGTGGTTACAACAATCTGGAGTATTAGAGCATTGTGTGTGTGTGTGTGTGTGTGTGTGTGTGTGTGTGTCCTACCTGTCCTCTTTAATCTATGTCTCCCCACTTTTAACTTCAAAAGTCTCTCTCATCTCTGTTGTGAGGATTAGTATTATTATGTTTTTTTTTTCTAGTTCTTCTCCATCCACTGAATTCAAATGATCAGTCTTGTTCTGGCTACTCCATTAGAAATTATATGATTCCAGTTTCTTAATTCTTTCTGGCAAATAGATTGAAAATAGGACTCTCTGGAGCACTAATATTGGCTGTTTCCCCTCCAGTATGTGGAGCTTCTCAGTTCACTTAGAATAAACCAATAGTCTAGTCCTATGATCTGTAGTCTTCCAAGGTGGCTTGAGAACCTCCTTTATCAGCCATATTAACAACAACTCCTAATGAGAGCATGGCCCACCTCCTGGCACATGCCCTCTCTCAATGGCTGCTTTCTCACTTGGCAGAAGACCAATTACAGAATTACACCTCTGTAATTTTCTCCAGGTGAATAAACAACAGAGCTGTCATGGAAAGCCCCATTGGGCCCTGCGTCCTAGCAAACTGAGGCAGGTAACCCATCATGTTTCCATCTGACCTTACTCAGCACGGCCACTCAGCTTCCTGTGGTATTATACAGATTATCACCTGCACTTGAAATTTGGTAGGAGAAAAAAATGGGTTATTTCTTATTACAGCATCACTGATGAGAACCTGGAGGGATCGTAGCTCAGCATCCAAGGCCTTTCAATCCCTCCTCTGGAAACCTTACTGATGGTGCATGAAATCCAGATCATAATCTTCACAAGTGTAGAACTGTCCAGATTTGGAGCCAGCAAATTGTCTAGCCATCATACCATCTATGCATCTCTGTGTCTCATACTTTCCATTTTTCTCTAAAAGTGTAATACACTCTAGGTGTCTCCTTCAGGGGAAATGTAGAAAGAAAAATTGTACTGTTCTGTGAAACTTCTTTTGCTTATGTAGGTATGTATCTTGTTTTGACTATCTCTTTTTTCTGGAATTTTTGTTTCTCTTTGGTCTCTGTCTTGTCTGAGTGCTTCCTACAAAGGCATTCTCAGAGAGTTGATGGGTTGTTCATGGTAGCCTGGTACCAGGAATTGATAAACCATTAATCAGAGACCTCATGGCAGATGGCTTCTTCAAAGGCTGTGTGACTTAGCATTTGGTACCTATATGGGGTTCCAGCTATTTTATTAGGAAGAGCACATGTTTGGAGAAATATAAACCAGGTTTCTAGTTTCAGCTCTGATATTCACTATGTCTATGTTATAGATGAGGAAATTAGACCACAAAAGTTAAATAATTCAGCCAAAAACCTGTAATCTAGAACACCTGTCTCCTAGGGTATTTGAGATATCTTAAAGAAATGATACAACAAAGCACTTGTCCTATAGTGGGTGCCCAATAAATGGTGAAATGGATGATGGTAGATTTATGCCCATTTAGGAGGAGAAAAATATGGAAAATGCAAAAATAATTTAAGGCTTTGATATAGTCAAGGGCACGTATTAGAAGACAGAGGATGGTGGGAGTAAGGGGGAAAAAAGATTAAGGAGTGAAATTACATGCAAGAACAAGGTCACTAAGAAACAGAAACAACGTGTATGGATGATTCTACTGGAGTAAGGATGACACATCTAAGTCATCATGCAGATTTATAGCATCAAAGGAAAACAAAGTACCAAGCTCAAGATTGCAGCTCTGTTTAAGGAATGTGCCAGTGTATCTGCCTTATTCAGGACTCAAACTAAATCAAGTACAGGGACCAAACAAATGCCAAACCAAGCATGTAAGATCAGTATGCTGTTGGGAAGGATAGCGTTACCCTGATTAAAAAGTGCAGTAATGGAATCAACATATAAAACTGAGTCGTGTGTCAAGTACCTCTGAAGCATGGGCTGCCCATCAGAAACCTGTCGTTTTCCTCCAAAGAGGGGTCTTTTGATCATTTTCTCTGACTCAGTCACTTTAAAGTGAAGGCATTCAGGCCCCAAGGTCGAGCTATGACTTGCCTGAGGTGAAACAATTCTTTGAGGAGAATGAGATTCTAGTTCTGTCTGCAACTGACTCTCAAGCCCAGAACTCTCCTTGCCCACTCCCCACCCCCTGCCGTGCTGCAGACACGGATTTGGATTTGGATGCCACTTGACTTCCTTTACTTCCCTGGACCCAAATATGCTAAGGCTGTTGTACCAGGAAGTGAATGAGATATATTTTGCTTTATTTTACATTAATGTGTGTGTTTTTGATGCCATGAACAGCTATCCAATTCAGACACCTTTAAGGAAAAAAGTGAAGTTACGAAGTTATTTAGGTGAGGAATCTAAGGATATTGTTCAGGCTGGATGAATTCATGGCCACTCAGAAATATCATCAAATGACTCCCCTCTCTTCCTCTCACCTCCTTTCCTCTCCCTTTTCTTTGCTACCACATGGGAAGGCTGCCTGAGAGTGAAGCCCACACATGGGAAAGCAAGAATGGCTACAGGGAGTCCCGGCTTCTATTTAGTCAGACTGCCAATCCAACCCAAAAGACAATGCCTCCCCTGATTACATCACAAGAGCCCCAAGTTGGCAATTCCCACTGGCCTGACTTGGGTAAAGTGGGCATCTCTTAACTAGCCCCATAGCCAGAGGCAGAGAGTATGTCAACTTTGATGTGTTATGTCCTCCTTGGACCACGGGTGTAGGGGCCCCTCCTAAATAAAATGTACTGAGATTTAAACAAAAGGATATGGCTCTTTAAAGAAAAAGTTGGAAAGAGGGAAGGAATGCTGGGCAGGCAAAAGCAACTGACTTCCTTTATAATGAATAACACAGACATTTTAAATGAATTCAAAGCAAAACCAAACAGCAGGAAGGTCCCTCCCCCTGCCCCTTGTTTGAAGGCTGCACTCTGACTCCCAGATGGAACGTGGGAAGGGCTGATCTTATCCCCTCTCTTAATACCCTGGCCCCCCTTTTGTATAAAGATAACAACATAGGCCCCCCAGCAGGGGAAGAAGTGGGCCCCCGGCTGGATGGACCCTGAAGCCTGTAAGGGCAAGGCCCCAGCAAAGGGCACTTGGCTCTCCTCCTTCAGCTTCCTCTAATAGCATTCCTAGGGGACAGGGATGCTGGCTCAGGCCTCCCTATCTTGTCTGTGAAATAAATTGAAAATCCCTTACAGTGAGAAGTATTTGACCTTGTTATCAAGAAAAGTGGGCTGGGTTAATCAAGTGACCTCTGTCGGGGAGGGTTCCACCAGTCTTTATTTTAGATTTCCAGTGAGGGAGAAGAGGCTGGCTTGCCCTTTGCGGGCCACATCAGGGACAGCGCCTCCTGCTCCCCTGTGGCCAGCTGCTCAGATATGGAGCAGTCGCTGCACTCCTTCTCGCTGAGTCTCCAGAGGTAAGCAGATTTGTACCTGGCTTCCCTGGAGGAAGCAAAGACCATCCTGCTTGGTCAAGGTTGTTTGTGATGCTTTGCTGCGGAGATAGGGAACCTACAGGTTGTCCTTCTGAATCCTTAAAGGTCATGAAAACACTTAAAAGGAACAAAAAAACTACGAACAATGTCAAACCTCAATGATGTATTTCCTCCTCAGTTGTTTGTGTTCACATTTACATTTAAGGACAGATGCAGAGTCCAAGATTCAGGGAAAGGAGAGGTGCCTCTGAAAATGGAACAGTCTATTGGCAGCATTGTAAGGAAGTAAACATTTATTCTGGAATATAATTGATAACCTCAGACTAGTTTTTATTTGCTCACATAGTCTATTCTGTCTAGACTTGTTAAAATGGGGCGTTGAACCATAGAAATACTCTGGAATTCACAGGAAGGTCATTAAAGCAAGAAACTATAACTAAAAGTAGAGTAAGTAAGAGTTGAACCAAAAGTAAAATGACAAAAGGAGACAGAGCTTAGAGCTGGTGAAGGGGAAGACAAGAGGAGAGAGTATGTATGGCCAATGTGTTTATTCGTTATATCACCTAGAAAAATTCTTGGGCACCTTAATCAAGCTGATTCTTTGGGGCTAAGAAAGAATGGAATTAGGTGGGCTAGTGTTAACTAGAATTAGCATTTGGCTCCATTGCTCTCCCTACAAATTGTATGAATTGGCAGAGATCTTCCTCTGTCAAATCTAAAAGGAGGATTCTTCAACTGCTATTTGAAAGGACCTTAATAATGTAACAGGGTCTGGATTGATTGCCTAAGTCAGCTCCGAGGTCAGTTCAGGCAAGTGTCTCTCTAAACATGGCACCAGAATGCTACTTATATTCAGTAGGGTTTGCATTCCTTTTACCAATTCAGAGACATGCTCCAGTCTTTTAGCCTAAGGTAGCTTTGTCATTAATAAGTCTGCTGAAGCCCATTTTGAATCTATAGTTTCACATTGTACCACTTCTTTGTGTTACATGTTTTATAAATATATCAGCTGCTCTGTTGTCCTCATATTTTTCTCATGTATTAATGTTTGACGCTACCATTCTAATAACATGAGTGTGTTTTTCTCCTATTTGTTTAACTAAAAATTATTTCGATGTTGACTATCTTCTTTGGGCAGTAACTGTCACATGTTGACTACATATTTTCAGCTTACCCTCTTCTGGGTACATGATAGGATTGCACCCATAATTCTCTTCTAGGGGCAGACCCATGTGACTAATTCTGGCCAATGCCTTGGGAGCAGAAGTGATATGTGTCCCTTCCAAGCTGAAGTATCCATATGCCATCCGCAAGCCCTGGAGAGCTCGTTTGCCCTCCTAGGGTGTTGTGAACAAAACATTTGAGGGTGCTGCTTCACGAGCCTGTCTCACGGCGCAATCATGCTGAGCACAGCACCACCGGAGTTTGAGCAGGAAATACACCTGTGATGTGTCTGACCCCCGAGGTTTTAACATTGTGGCTTCAGCCTCACCTAGTTTACACTCATTGCTACACTTAAATTCATACTTTGTGAAAAAGATCAGGAAGATAAATGGTGCTTTCCCTTTAGCAGGTCCCTCCCACTGCATCCTTTCGATGTTTACTTTTCAAGTATTTTTATTGAGTCCCCACTGTCTTTCTAAGCGGTACTTTAAGTGAAGTGTGAGTTATATTTGAATCACAGGCACATTCCCCCATTTGGCGGATGCCAAAAATAATATGTTGTTTCTTTGGCCACAATTATTTAGCTGAAGGAGGACAGAAAATGGGCTGTGTAGGAGAGCCACAGAAGAGGGTTGACAGTACAAAGGATAAATGAAATTTGCTCAAACAATACACTTCCACTGGACAGAAAAGAAAAATAAATTCAACTTGCTTCAGCGGGTCTAATCTCCCAGCAAGCCCACATTGTCTCACTTGATTCATTATCATGCAAGGTTTTCTTCTTCTCATCCAGGCTGTCTCCACACTGTTCAATAGATTCCAGTTTATTCTACTCCTTTCATAGCTGAGAACTCTCCCAAACATTACACATCATATTACCTGGTGAACAGACTGTGACAATCCTGAGGATAGCGTTAGAGGTTGCCTATTCCCGTAGCTCATATCGGTCAGCTGACATGGAACTGCTGTGACAAGTGGTCTGCTTCGCAGATTAATATGGCACGATAATTAATGAAATGCATTTTTTAAACCTCCTAAACTTTCTTTGCCCAACCTCTTTCCAAATATCTCTTGCTTGCTTTCTTCGTCATCTGGTTAAAGGAAAATGTTTTTGATGGAAATACCCTAGGATTAGGAGTCAAACAATATTGCAGTGTAGTATCAACTCTTCAAATATTAGCTGGGTAAATGTAGATATATCCTTTAAATGCCATGTTCCTTTTCTAAGGAAATACTAGCACTAACACCTAAAACATTCTGAGTTAGAAAAAACAATTAAAAATATGCAACTTTACCAGTATGAATTGTTCAGTGCATAGATTATATACTTAAAACACACACACACACACACACACACACACACATATAATCATTGATCTGATGAAAACAATGCAGGATAAACACTTCTGCAAGAGGCGTGGAAAACATTTAAAATATTGTCAAAATCTGTCAACAGTTTCACACTCATTTGTTCAACTAGAGAAGAACATGGTTCTAATTCGGATTATTCTTGTATACAATGTAAGTTTTATTTAGTTTTATTTTTGGGCATAATTTCTTTCCCACAAACTGTGTTCTTTATTGCATGTCCTTTGATACAAGTTAAATATATGAAACATATTTTCTGCTGCTGGCTTAGTTTTTCATAGCCTGTTTAATTTTGTGAATGATCCAGATAAAGCTAATGAAGCAATGTTATAAATGAAAATAAACCTGGGATGTTAATTATATTTACAAAGAACTCTCCTGGAGATTGTAAATTACTAGTATATTGTTCTATTGAATTCTATTTTCTGATTTAGTTATTCATATCTCTCACTTGAGGAAAAAAACATTCTCAGAGAGAAGAAACATGTATCACTACCACTGGTTGAAAAAGAAAGGTCTTTCTTTGGCAAATACATATACCTTGCCCTGTGTCGATGCAATGGACTCTGCAACACAGGGCAAGTCCTTAATTACTTCTGACAGCTCTTTCCTATTTGACTCAAAATACTTTTTTTTCTGTAAATGTAAGTGGGTATATGTACACATCTACATAATATATAGCTAAACATATACATACATGCTTATATGTTTACACATTTGTATATGTGTGCATGTGTGTATTTCATAACCCAACTTTTCTGATTGACCTCCACTAAAAATCCAGGGGCAGATTCCTATCAAGACCTTACCAACTGAATGATAAAAATAAGGTAGGGTAGGAACTCGTGCATTGCAGCAATGCAGAGAACACAGAGGAAAAGGGCTCTACAGTCGGTTTTAGGAAGCCGCTCTTCCTGTAAACCTGGAGCATTATGACAGATTTCCAGTGCCCAGAAAAAAGAATAGCCTAATACAGAGAATAAAGTTGTTTGCAATATAATTTTCTTACAATCTTGTTTTTCTGCATGGTTTGCCAAATGAAGACATTAGAGAGGCTGATCTTGCACTGGATCCCAGATGCTCAACCACAGGTCACTGACAGGCATCCCAAGTCCCTGCTGTTAAGCAAAACAGTTCATCTGCAGGGCACTTCAGTTCTGTTACCAAGCAGGGGCTTCTGGGAGGGACTCTCTGCTTCAAAAAAAAAAAAGCCATCTGACCCTGCATAACAGATAGAAGCATCAAAGGTGGCATTTCAGCAGCTCAGTGGGCTAAATGGAACTCAACAAATATAAAAGGAAAACAATATAAGAATTTAGCAGACTTATAGTCAGGCAGCATCTAATTAGACGTACAAGTGGGATAAATAAAATACTAAATTGGTGATTAAAATATTAAAAAATAAAACAAGGAGTCCAGATAAAAATAATTGGATTGTGGGGATAACTTTTCAGAATTTGCTCCAAAATAAATAAATAAGCAAAACCAAGCAAATTGAGCTGGTTTTCTACTTTAAACAAGTCAAAAGTTTTATCTTGTTTTTTAAAATCTTACCTTATACTGTTACTACCCAAGCAAGGCTCTTTGGCCCGTGTTGGGGTTAAGTATTTTGTGGCCTAGAATTCCCTGCATCTGTCTAGTACATATGTCAGCCAGAGTAGCAGGTCAGCTGATGTGTATAAGCATGAAACAAGGGTCAGCCCAATCATTACTTAAGTTGTGGTTGCACTTTGTTTCAATTGTACAACTTATTATTTTAGAAGAACTGCATCTGCCGTTCAGTAAATATTCATAAAATGTCTATTCTGTGAAAGCCACAGGGCATGGGTTGGGTGGGGGAGGGAGGAGGCACAGGGAGGAATAAGGTGGGTCTATTAGGAAATAAGATAAATGAATGTGAATCTCACCGCAGGGTGTAAGTTGTTCGTTTTTACTTCTTGTAAGCTCTCTGTATAACAAACTAAAAAAACTGGGAGTGACTTCTAAGCTAACACAAGATAATTTTTAATAGGGAAAAGTATTTGATTTACTAATAGTTTGACAGTTTTGGTAGTGTTTAGGTTATAAAGTCAGGTCATGCTTAAAAATAATTATTTCTGCTTATTCTGTAATAAAAACTCAAAATTGTATTAAAACTCACTTATATAATTCACAGACATATTATTGGGAATGCCTTGGTAAATACAATAAATATTTCTCAGCACATTTGTTTATAATCCATATGACAATTTTGATGGCACTCACTGTAACATTTCTTTCAGATATCAGAACTGCTGATCCACAAGCTCAACCAAAACGCAGTGCACTTTGAGCTCAAACCCGGGATTCAAGTCCTTGTCCACGCCGCCCACCTGACAGCAGGTCAGTTTTCACGTCCCTGGGCCCTCACGAGTGGCTCTAACAAAGGGGGATCCCAACCTATTGTTTTAGCACAACAAGACTAGACAGTGCGTCCCCTTATCAGAACTAGGGCATCATTCTTTGGAGGTTCCCTTGCTTGGCATTTTTACCTTAATGAGGCTCCATAAGGCAACAGAATAAAGTGTCTTTTCTTAGTCCCTGGCAAAAACTATCAGTGACTCACCTAAATACACACTCCTGAGATGAGAGCAAGCTTCATCTGAACAGATATCTTGAATATAAAGTTAGTTCTACAAATACCTTTTTTCTGGTCTTTCTTTAAAACCTTATTTTCAAGTTATTCATGTTCCAAGTATTTTTTTTCTTAAAATTTTGGGATAAAGTAGGGCAGTGGAAATAGCTGAGGCTTAGGAGTTGTACAGGGCCATAGCCATGAACCAAACCCCAATTTCATCATGATCCTACAAATGAACTAAGGCCATGATGTTTCTGCCTTTCACCTGTGACACGAAGAGGGGAGAAATCCTCCTCCTAAGGCCATTTAGGAATCTCAGTGATGATTCAGGGCATCCCAAGTGTGTAGAATAGATACTACTGCGTTATATTACTACAGTGGCCATCTAGAAATCCCAATGATAATTCAGGTAATCCCAACTGTGTAGAAAGAGATATCCTTGTGTTATGTTAATACTAAACTGAATTTACCATGTTTATTGAAGTACTTATTTTTTTCAGAGTACTGTGCTGGTGCTGCATAGAATATAAGGGGCAGTAGGAAATGATCTTTTTCTTCAAAATACATGTAACCTAGTCGTGGTGGCAGCGTTTGATGTAGCAGCGGTGGCGGTGCTATGGGGTGGGTAAATGGGCAGTGGTGGGTTACCTCGGCGAGTAAAATGCATAAACGCTCATGGGGAAAGGCAGCAGAGCATACTTAAGCACTCAGATTTCGCAATCCTGCAGCCAGACCATTGGTTTCACCTTTGGCCCCATCGCTCACTTACTGTATAGACCTTGAGAAGAGACTTAACTCCCCTGTGCCTTAGAGATGGCTATAGCCCCTGTGTCAGGGGGATTGCGTGAGGATTAAGTTAATTGGGGTAATGCAGTTAGAGTAGTGCCTGGCAGATAGTAAGCTGTGGTGTTTGGTTTTTTTCTTTTTACTCCTTGTATTATTAACAAAGTTATGTAGGAAATTTAAAGCAGAGATAAATTGTGCTCAATCAAAATGATATGGAAAAGCATCTTGGAGGAGGTGGATGGATGGGTAGGATTAAGTGCCAGAGACACTGAAGCGCCAAAGCTTCCGGGGAACCTCCAGCGCTTTGGGGAGGCTGAGTAAGTGGGGATAAAGAGCAACAGTTTCCAACCCCGTTTCTGGTTTCCTGGGGATTCTCGGGGTGGGCCTAGGCTGACAGGAAGGTCGAGTGTGTTAGTTCCTTTTCTGCTTATATTCTTATTCTTTCTCCATTAGGGTTTCATAATTCTTTTCATTTTAAAATGCTATCATTGCCTTAAAAGAACAAATATTTAAAGATCACTATTCCTGGGCATGGGATATGGAAGGAGAGTATAGAAATATGCCAGGCTGGGCAGTTTGTGCTTTCTTGGCTGGACTCTGGTAAGCCAGGGAGACCTCTGACTGACCGATTCAGAGGGTCACCTGAAGAAGATGACCCTTCAGAGGAAGGGGAATTGAGTCGGGTTGATTGCTCTTCTACAGCTTGCCATCCTAATTCATCCACTGAGCAGACATTTATGGAGTGCCAGCCTGCTCTGAGCCAAGCAATGTTCTCTGAATAGAACAGTCTGTGCCTTCATGAAACTTCCTTCACCGGGGAAATACGAGCAGCAAGCCGATGAACACATCCCACTTTCAGAATTATATTGCTGATGAAAAGGCCCTGAAGAAATTAAGGAAGCGCATGAAAACAGAGAATGATTAAGCAGAAGCTATAAGAGCAACCCCTAAGCCAAAGTCTCCCGACATATCTCAGGACATTTGATGATCTAGATTGGCCATTTCCTCCTCAGAAGGTTGACCTTTGGTTTTTGGTGAATGATCGCGTCTGATGCATGGCTGTTAACATGTAGCTGGTTGAAGTGGAGAGTAAACAGTGTCCAGAGGCATTAGTTGTAGTCATTCCGATAGATACGCCACTGGCAAATTTTGTCAAATTAGTCAAAAGTAGTTATTTGAAATTTATTTAAACAGTTTTACTGATTGATTCAATCTCATTAGGTGATACAGCCTGCTTAGAGGGATGACTGAACCTCTTCTACTTTGTCTCTAGTGATGTAAAACTTGCTTTACAGCATACTCACCTTCTAAGTGAGCACTATGCACTATCTTCAGGCAGCATATTTTGCTATCGAGTACCTTGATTTATTAGGAAACACCCCTCTGTTATTTACCAGAGGCCTCTGTTAGAAAGGGGAGCATCACAGGTCAGGATAGAGACCTGACCTGCTTCTCTAGTTCTCTAATCCTGGAGGCCGCTTACATGTCATACCGTTTTCTTCCTCCCATACCTCTCTTCCATCAGCTATTTTATGGGCCTGGTTTTGATTGACCTGATTGTCGTATCACGTTCCAAAGATGGGCACATCAGGTTTTTTTTCTGAATTTGAAAGCTTATTTCAAATGCCTCTTAACGATATCTTCATATAATGACACCTGCTGTAGAGCTGGGATCAGGCCGAAAAATAGGGATCAAAAAAGTGGGGATTTCACTGAAACTGGTTTGGCCAGTGGTTTGGCCAGAGAAACAGATACTGCCAAGTCATCCATGAACCCATGTGGGAAAGAAAGACCATTCCCCATAGCCATGGAAGATTTAATGTTACTGGTTTAAGCTCCAGATGGCGAGGAATAATGCAAAATTTAGAAGGTCTGGGAAATTTCTCTAATTAATGTTCTCAGTTCATTTCATAGTAGAGATTTTGGACTCAGATCCCTGGGAAGGATTGGCAAAAGGGAGGGACGTTCCTGGCAGCTCAGGTAAGCACACCGAGATTTGGAGAGCCCCGCACAATCTAGATGTGTATGATGTGAAGTTGCCAAAGAATCAGAGAACAACAATTCAGTTCAAGGCAAAGGCCCAATCTTAAGCTGGGCCAATTTGGATAGAGTAAGAAAACTCTTTGACTTCCAACCATTGTGGCTGTTCTCAGCTCTTCCCTGTTAGATCTGATAGTTTGGCATCATAATTCTAAACTCAATCAATGGGCACTGTTAAGCTTCCTGTTAGGACTGGCTCAGGGACTGGAGTAGATGCAGACTTATATGTCAATAATCAACTCCAGTTTGAAGAGTAAAAGAGGAGAATGTCAAGAGCTGACCCAGTAACTGAGTCTTGGAAATTTCTGTTACATTGAGTTTAGCCATGCTTGTCATAATCATAGCAGAACTGGAGGTACCCACAGGTGGGCAGTTACTGAGCCAGGCTTTTATATACAAAAGACAATGCTTATGTTAAGGCCAGCACTTCAGTGATTGTGATCAGGAAGTAAAATATATGAGGGCCCAGTTGTCTGTTGGAGACTGGTCCTAATTTAGTCGTAACTACGTGATTTTTTAAAAAATATCTGAACAGAGTGATAGACTATATCTACTAAAACGGTAGAGGGGATTCCTTCATATATAGAAAATTTGGCATGTTAGTTGGGGGAATCAGTGCATTGAGACACTTGCCACAGTTTCTTTTATTACATTGAAATGAACACATTCCTATCTAGGGTTAGGAAGAGAAGGAAGAAAAAACCTGGGGAAAAGAAAAAAACAGTGAGGAGGAGTATTTGATGCAGAACTTCCATCTCAACAATCTTTCCCTTCCTCTGCTCCCCCCACCCCCTGCAGGCAGGAGAAAATTTAAATTAAAAAAAAAAAAAGAAAAAGGACCACTGTTTGCAACATTTCATGTCTCATAAGCAGGATTGCTAATACCTTCCCAGGGACCATTATAGCACACTCCTGCATTCCATTAATTGCTCAGCAGATGTTCAACAGCCTTCTTTTAAAAATGTTTGAGCCAGAATATGTTGCTGGTGAGAGAGGCAATGCATAATTTGGTTTGTCTCCAAGGAGAAAGAACTGTCTCCTTTCAGGAATTTACTAGCCTTATTTTGTCTTTCAAATTCAGCTCCCTGTTAGCTTTTATGGGAACACAAGGTAAGCATTGCCAGATACCTGGGTGTCATCAGGGACTGGATGAGAGAACAAATACCCTCACGTTCTGTGGGGGAATTCATTAACTTTGGTATCTAAGCTGAGTTCAACTTCGAACGCAGCCCTTGTTTTGTTCTCAGCCATTCCCATGCTTCTCGGTTTCTGTGCCATTTCTCTCAAGACCCTAACCACTCCTGACAAATAAGTTTCTGCAGTTCTCTTTGCAGAAAGCAGGGGTGTGAAATGGTGTGAGAACAGGGAAAGAATGACAAACTGTTATCAAGAAGGTTGAGGGAGGGCCATGACCAGTGTGGTTCCGTTTGGGTTTTAGAACCTGATGGCAACGGGCATCGATGTTTAGCAGACAAAGGCAAAGACGATGTGGCAAAACAACCTAGAGAGTTGGAAACATGAGTAGAAATCAATCCAGCTGCATAGTGGACTGGACACACTGGTGTTTTGACCAAAATCTACCTCTGGTCATTCTATCCATGACAGTAACATTTCTCTCCTTCACCTGCCTATATCTCCTGAATCTTTTTGTATTTTAAGGCTCGACTCAAAGCCAACCTGTGTGCGATATCTTTCTAGAGACCTTTACCAGGCTGTCATTTATCCCTTGTCTGAACTCACCTGGATTTTTTAAAATCTATATCATGATGATCATCATCACCACTCTTATTTAACTTCTTAAGGATACAGTTTAGCATATCTTAATATTTTCTCCACCATGGTACCAGCAGAGAACTTGCAACATATCAGGTACTCCATAAATATTACTTTTATAAATAATTAGAGATATAATAACTTTATAAGGTATAGAGATAGATTC